AAAAAGCTTTGAAATGCCTTCTGTCTCACACAAAATTCAAAAGGCAGAGCAGATTGATTTTTTTTAACTTAGAATTTGCTGTGTAGGCTGGATTAAATTATTTAACATATTTGTGCTTTTGGAGGAGGAGAGGTAACATTGTCCTGCCTCTTGAGTGTCCGGGGGACCCGTGAGCATGAAACCATCCTGGAGCACAGAGGAACCAGGGCAGTGCTCTCCTCTGCCCGGTGGTAGGGCGCTGTGGAGGGTCTCTTACCAATGTGCTCTTCAGCTGCGTCCAAATGCTACCCTTGTAACAGAAAAAGGGCTGTGGAAAATGGGTCGCCTAGGACGGCCCTTATGTTCAGAACCAGAAATTGAAAATGCAGCCATCTGTCTGAGATCTATGAGTAGTTTAGCATAGACATGGAGGTGACCAAGGAAGAGAAAGCCAAGTAGAAGTAATAAGGTTAAAGACCAAGAAGAGCAGAGTGAGTAAAGATATTAAGAGAAAAAGACACTCGCTCTCGCTCTCTCTCTCTCACACACACACATACATACATACCAGAGAACAAAAACAGAATAATCTATTTGAACATGATTATTAAAAAGAGAAAATTTCCTTGTGGACATATGGATATCTTCTACAGAACAGAAAATTATTTCCACAAGGGCTATGCTTTTCAGGGATGGCTATGGGGGTAGATATTCTCGTACCTACGGCAGTCAGTCGGTCCACATAGGCGGACTGATCAGGCAGGAGCCTGGCAGTGGCAGAGGAAGCACACAGCATGGGGAACAAGCCAGACGTGGTCCCAGTCACTGAGGAGCACGTTGTCTAGATGAGAAAGATGCCTACACGAAAATGACAGGTGGTGTTAGGACTGCAGAGGGGTAACACAGGTGCTTCCAGGAGCGTATTAGAGGTGGGAGTGGGGGGCGTTGGTAAACAGCCTGGGAGGGCAGGGAGGGTTATGGTTCAGTGGCCCCAGGCGAGGACAGAGAACATGGCAAGTGTGCACTCCAGAGCTCCCTCTGCTCTGCACTCAGAGCTGGGAGGGAAGTCCCCATTGGCAACTACGGCCTAAAGCCAAATGCTTTGGACTTGAAGTCAGACCCGTTCTAGGTCCACCAGGACAAGCTGCAAGACCTTGGGTTTCCCCATCTCAGTTTCCTTGTCTGTAAAATGGAAACAATAACATATTTCCAGGATTCTAAGTAATTGTAAGATCACCATAGATTTAATAAGAAATTTTCAAGGTAAGGGTGGGAAGAGGAGGAGTATGTGCAACTGCAATAGATATACTTCCTGGTTTCCACATTAAAATTATACACATTATGGAACTGAGGGAATGTGCTGAGGTGTATCTCAGGGTTGCTGTGAGGATTGGATGAGGTTACTATGACAGTATAATTTCACAATGTCCTATGGCTAAATGTTTATGGTCCCTAAAAATGTATATACCCTAAATCCCAATGTGGTCATATTAGGAGGTAAATAGGTCAGGAGGATGGAGCCATCGTGAGCAGAATTAGTGCCCTTATAAGAAGAGACATGCGAGTTTGCTCTCCCCTCCCCCCTCTAGGTCAGGGTACAAGTATTATTACTTGCCTCACTCGCTGCACAGCCCAGCCTATAATAATATAATAAAGACTCCAAAAAATGAATATATTGAGAGCAAATCTTGAAATCTAATTCCCTCATGAGAGTCATTTTTATTAAGTGGGATAAAATCATTCTTACAAACCAATATATAGAGACTTCCAGAATCAAAAGGAAATTTAAAGCAGAATGAATTTTATCCTTAGATTTTATAATAGAAGACACTAAGGATCAGAGAAATAAAATAGCTTTTCTTTATACATATGGCTCCTGGCACAGCTGGGACAGAAGGAGGGACTTTCCCTAGATGGTGTAGACAACTCCTCGTGACTATGGCTACACAGAGCACGGCATTGGGGCCGGCTGCGCGACCTGCGCGCACACGAAGCCTCCGTGGGGTGTGCACCCGACATGGGCAATGTCTCAGCAACAGGGCCGCCCGAGGCCACGCTGATTTTGGTCACGAAATTGGGGTGGTGGGGATGGAATGAAGGCGAGAAATACAAAGGTGTAGAGTTACAACATGAGCTTCTCTGTGGGGAACAAAATCATGCTCACTCACCCTCAGTGACAGAGTTGCTGAAAGTGTAGGTCCTTCTGTACAAAGAAACATTTACCCCTCCTGGGAGGGGGGGCTCCCCACCCCCCTCACCCCAAGCAGCTTACCTTGGTCTGAAAACGACAAAGCAGAGTGGATCTCAGGTATAGGACTCGTCGGTGGCAAGCCTGTTCACCGTAGGACCACAACAGGTTATGACGTTTTCGTAGACGCTGGGACGCTGGCCTGAGCTGGGCTGGGCTGAGCGCCGGCACTCACACCGAAGCACAAGAAATGCACCTTTCAGGCCAGCCGGGCCTACACCTGTGCGCAGCCTCGCTGAGAGGACACCAGAGCAACACCGCAGCAGCTTTCCTGGAGCCTCATCAAAGTGTAGCAGGCAGGGCCCAGCTCGTGGTGGCTTTATTTATAGAAGGCAAATTAGGGCAAGGTTGTCGCCCTCTTCCACCTGGGGACACTGAGGGCTGGTTAAATAATTGCTCTAAACTGCCGGTTCCTGAGGGGAAGTGGAGTCAGGTCTCTTACCTCGTGGCGCCCCATCGGGCACGAAGTCAGTCTGCTCTTCAACCTTAAGACAAACCAGTGTGAACTGAACGGTCGTAGGACTTTAGCGCAGGAAGTAGGACCTGCAGTCTGTATTTACTTTATTTAGTGCTCACACGTGAGTAGCAGTATAATATGCCCTCGACAGAGAGCAGGGTGGGGACTGAGAAAGCACAAGCAAGTTCTTGGGGCGGGGTGACTGCTTCGAAAAGGAACTGACATTCCCACCCGGAGTTCTGGCTCCCCGAGTTCTGGGCCCTACAGACTATTGTCACGAGCGCATGGCCACGACCTTCCCGCCGCGGTCTCTCTGCGGGTCGTCCCTGTGCCTGGGCACCGGGCTTTCATCCGGGGCTGCTGCTTTCTCCTGCGGTGACCCGCCAGCCGGCGCTGCTCCCTCCGCCGGCGCCGGCAAGAAGCCCAGCCTGCCCGCCTCGCGCGGTGGCGCGTGTCCTGTCTTTGTTTGGAGTAATGGAGACCCGGAGAAGAGGGGGAGGCGTGACTTAAATATTCGCATCGTTTTTAAACAAACGGTTTCCTAATGTGTGTCTGTTCCGTGCCAGCCTGAAACTCAGTGGGCAGAGCCGGCTGCGCTCCGAGCCCTTCCTTCTGCAGCCCCCGCGCGCCGCGCCCTCGCCTCCCCACGCGCCCTTCCCGCGGCGGCGGAGAGAGAACAGCGGCGCAGGCCAAACAGCCGGGGCTGCGCGCGGGCGGGAGACTGTTCCCGCTGTCCCGGGCAGGCGTCGCGGAATGCGGAGATTTTCCCATTCATAAAACCAGCTTCCCCGCGCCCCGACTGCCCGCCCGGCGCGCCCCGCGGGGCCCGCATTAGGGTGGGGATGGCCCCGGGCGCGCGGTTTCCAGGACCTGGGGACCTGAAGCGGAGCGTTGTCGCGTTTCGCCAGGAAGTCGACTTGTATACCCACCCGGTGTCCTCACTCAGTCTGCGTAGACCACTGACAGCGGCGGCGGATGGGCCGTTCTGTGCGAAACGGAGACAAAATGGCTTGTGGTTCATTTATAATAAAACCTCGCCCTCTGACTTGGGGTGTCCGACATTTTGTGACTTGCATCTTTTGCTCTACCACGGATTTAGGAAGAGACTGTCAAACCGTGCCTCCTCTCCATTTGTAAACAGCTGTCTTTGGGGGGTCCCCGTTATTACCCTTTTATGGTGGTGGGTGGGGGCGCGAAAGCGGGCAGGGCCGACGACGACAGGGGCCAGGCGGGGCGGGGCTTCGCACTAATCCAAGATGCAACCTCCGTCCCAATAATAGATTGTTATTAACAATGATCCTCTTTGCAAAACCCTTAAAATTGCCCCTCGACTTCCCTGGCAGCGAGACGAGAGCCCTAATTCGCTGAGCTGGCGCCGCCCCCACCCCCGCCACTCTCTGCCCTGGAAATTACAACTCCTGTGCGCGCCGCGCGGGGAGGAAGCTGCTGCGGCGGGAAGGAGGCGGGGAGGGGATCCCCGGGCCGGCCGGGCGCTCGTCCTCCGCCCGCGGGCTGCAGCGCCACGCGGCCAAGGTCAGAGGCGCCGCGGGAGCAGCAGCGAGAACAGAGAAGCGGGTCTTTCCTGGGAGAAAGCCCAGGGCGAATTTGGCCCGCACCAGCAGCCACCAGGAAGGGAGGCGAACGAAGGTCTCCGAGCCGGCGGGGCCCCGCGGAGAGTCGCCCGCTCAGCGGCCCACCCGGCAGGTCGGCAGCCCCCGGGTCCGCGCGCCAGCAGCCGGGGCGCCGCCTTGGGCTCCCGGGCGCTGTCCGCCGGCTCGTGGTGCTGATCGCAGACCCACTGCCAAGCAGCCGGCTCACCCGCCTTCTCACCTACAGATCGCCCCGATTGGGGCGGGGCACGGGCAAAAGGAGGTCCCTGGGCAGCTGCTCATTGGAGCCGAGGGCTTGAAGCAGAAAAGCCAGCGAACAGCAGCCCGGCCGCTGGTCCTGATGAGGAGAGGACACGCGCGCTGCAGCCGTCGCCGGCGCTGGCGCTGATTCACCACCCAGAGTGCCTCCCAGGCCACCGCCAGGGCAGCCGACTGGCTCGGACTCTGGCCGCAGGGCGAAACGGCTGGTGCAGCAGCCTCGCTGGCGAGAGGTGAGAACCCCCTCCCTTCTCTTGCGCCCGGTCGTCTTAGGGCGGTGGCCCCAGAACAGAGAGAGGGGCGTGCCCCCGAGCTGTGCAGCAGTCATGTCTATGTGATGCCCCCGCCTCCAGGGTCACCGGTGCTAACCACGCTGGTTCCTCTCCGCCCGTCTCCGGAGCTCGGGCCATTCCTCCCGGGGACCTGAGCAGCTCGTCCTGCCCGCGCCGCGATGGAGGAGGAGCTGAAGTGCCCAGTGTGCGGCTCCCTGTTTCGGGAGCCCATCATCTTGCCCTGTTCCCACAACGTCTGCCTGCCTTGCGCTCGCACCATCGCAGTGCAGACACCGGACGGTGAGCAGCACCTGCCCCAGCCGCTTCTGCCCTCGCGGGGCTCGGGGCTGCCGGCGGGCGCAGCTGCCGCCGCCGCGCCCCCTCTGGACCACGACGCCGCAGCTGGCCCGGCCTGCAGCGGCGGGGGCGGGGGCGGGAGCACAACCAGCGGCCTGGGCGGCGGCGCGGGAGGTGGCGGGGACCACGCGGACAAGCTGAGCTTGTACAGTGAGACGGACAGCGGTTATGGCTCCTACACGCCCAGCCTCAAGTCCCCCAACGGGGTTCGCGTGCTGCCCATGGTGCCTGCGCCGCCCGGCTCCTCGGCCGCCGCGGCCCGGGGTGCCGCCTGCTCCTCGCTGTCCTCGTCCTCCAGCTCCATCACATGCCCGCAGTGCCACCGCAGCGCCTCCCTGGACCACCGCGGCCTGCGCGGCTTCCAGCGCAACCGGCTCCTGGAGGCCATCGTGCAGCGGTACCAACAGGGCCGCGGGGCGGCGCAGGGGGCGCCCGCAGCCCCGGCCGTGGCCATCTGCCAGCTGTGCGACCGCACCCCGCCGGAGCCGGCCGCTACGCTCTGCGAGCAGTGCGACGTGCTCTACTGCGCGGCCTGCCAGCTCAAGTGCCATCCATCTCGGGGACCCTTCGCTAAGCATCGCCTGGTGCAGCCGCCGCCGCCGCCGGCACCCGCCGAGGCCGCCTCTGCGTCCCCAGGCGCGGCCCAGGGCGCCCCCAGCGGAGGCGGCGGCTGCAAGAGTCCTGGGGGCGCCGGCGCCGGAGCGACTGGCGGCAGCGCGGCCCGCAAGTTCCCTACGTGCCCCGAGCACGAAATGGAGAATTACAGCATGTACTGTGTGAGCTGCCGAAGCCCGGTGTGCTACCTGTGCCTGGAGGAGGGCCGGCACGGCAAGCACGAGGTCAAGCCGCTGGGCGCCATGTGGAAGCAGCACAAGGTGAGTGCCCGCGGGCAGGGGTCTGGATGCCCGGAGAGGGGTCCTTGGCCTGTTCCCTGGAGAATTGACAGTGAAGGTCGATCAGAGGGTCAGGCAGGAGTTGCCTCATTCATTCGTTCCTTCATTTGTTTATTCACTCGTTCCCACATCAATCATTTGACAAACACTTAAATGAACTCCAGGCACTCTGAGCTGGGTGTTGGCGATGGGAAGGGCGTGGAAAGATGACGTAGTAGGCCCCCCAGATTTTATGATCCTGCACACAGGGCACCCAGAACGCAGATGCAGGGTTCTTTCACATCTGAAGTTGACTAATAAGTTACCTTGTCGGCCTTTCCAGATTTAAAGGGGCAGGGCCCCTTCCTCCCTTTAAAAAGTTTGTTGTTGTTTTTAAGTTCAACTGTTAACACCTGCCCGCAGGAAAATGTCTGATGCCTTTTGCGCATGGTTCATTTTCTCTGGACACAGGAAGGATTCGAGCCCAGCCCTCAGTTCAGGGACATACTCTTTCCTCCAGAGCAGAACTCCCATCAGCTTCCAGAGCCGAAACCGTCCTACTCTCTCAGCTAGTGTCCAGCACTTCTGACCCTCCCAATGCTTCCCAGCCTAGAGAGGAGGCGTAATTCCCCGTGCATCTTGTCTGAGAAGTAAACGTGGGCCCTTGGAAGAAGGCGGCACCATTTTCCCCAGAGACCTTCCGCTGCCAGGGCTCGGCATCAGTAGCAGGGGGAGTGTGTTGACTACAGAACAAGCCCTGAGCAAGGAAGCCCAGGCGCACTTTCAGCTGCAGATTGCCACAGCCTTCCTCCCCAGGGACCTGCCTGCTTGGGGCCCTCCTCCCAAGTGGAATCGAACAGCCTCTCACTGCTACTGGCTGGAGCTCACTGGCGGCTGCCAATCAGGTCAGGTGCTTGATATGGCCCCAAGGCCAGAGTGGGGCTGGTTCTTCTAAGGAACGTTCGCTTCCTTGCTCATCCAAAAGCTAAGCTGTACGAGTGGGCTTGCTGGCAGGTGAGGCCAGCAAGTCAGGCCCGACAGAGTTAAGAGTCCCTTTTTCTGGGTCCCCAACATCATCTGGGAATCTGGGCAGTTATCATTACTGCCGTCTTTCCAGTACACTTCTCATGCCTTAAAGAGGCGGCGGGCGGTGGGGGGGGGGGGGGGGGGTCTCCAAATCACCCAACAGGAAGTGTGTGTTCTAGTCAAGAAGGAAAGACACAGGAAAATGGAATAGTTTGCCCTGACCCTCTCCCATGATCAGCAGGTAATGGACAAAAAGGGGGGCATATAGACGAGGGGAGAAGAAGGGATGACTTGGATTTATTATGAACTTCCTCTGCTCCAATATGCATGTTATCATCGTAATTTAACATTTTCAAATAAAAAAATTAGAAAAGAAAAAATGAGGAAGATTTTAGAAAACGACCTTGGAGAGAGAAATTTGCAGAGCAGGGCAGAAGGGCACTCTGGAGTGGAATCCCTAATCCATGAGCAGGGTTCTCCTCTGGGGACAATTCACTCCCCTTCCAGAACATCGGGCAATGTCTGGAAACATTCTGGGTTTTCGTGTTTATGGGGTGCTACTGGAACCTAGTGGGGAGAGGCCAGGGAGACTGTCTAACATCTTACAGGGCATGGGAAACCGCCCCCAGACAATTGTCCACCCCAAATACCAGCGGTATCTGTGCTAAGAAAACCCGCTGTATTGACATAGGCCTGGATACAAATCTCAGCACTTGCAATTCACTGGCTATAAGCTTTAGGCACAGTTTAAAACCCACTGGATAATAATATCTAACTCAGATCGTTGTTGTAAGGAGTAAGAATTATACTCTATGTTTAGCCTCTACCACAGTACCTGACCCACAGTAACCGATACATGTTTCAATTTTTAGAGTTCTTTCACTTAAAACCACTAGACCTGCAGAAAGCTATACGGTGCAGCAAAGAGTGCTTGTTTGACCTCAGTGACTTGGTTTCCTGGAGAAATCACGCTGGCAACTTCTGACATTGTTTATGCTGAGTCCTAAAATAGCTTTGAGGAAATGGGAATGTGTGCCTTGAGTTAGTTATCATTCCTAGGACCTTTTGTCATATTTCTTCATAGTAGTTGGAGCCACATTGCTTATTTCGTTTTTTCAAGCAAAAAGACATTTTTCAAATAAGGAAAATCCTTTGCAAAGAGGCTACGATCAAATACCAAGACAAGAAGTAGGGGTTCACATTCAGATTTTGTGAACTATTAAATTTTCACAGCTGAGGAGGCTAGAACTTACTGAGGATGTTGTCACCTAAATCTTTAGACTCAGTGAAGAGTGGGGACTAAAATAAATTGAGATGAGTTTGCATCCTTAAAAGAAATTCAGCCTCTTACAAGGAAACATGCATTGGATAGTGAGTTATAGTTTCAAGAACCAAGGTCATGCAGGGAAAATCATTGGTTATCCTTGACTTGGTCTTAACTGCTCTTTTGTAAAATTTCTGTCCTCATCCAACAAGGTAAATTGGTGAGGAAATAAGGAAAGCCCTTGTGATATTTGCTCCGTAGGATGGGACAGTAGTCTGGGAAATGCTACCACAATGTCCCCCTTATCCAAGGTTTCACGTTTTGCGGTTTCAGTTACCCGTGGTCCACTGCTGGCCAAAAATATTAAATGGAAAGTTCCAGAAATAAACAATTCGTGAGTTTAAAACTTCACGCCATTCTGAGTGGCAGGAGGAAATGCTTCACCTTCCCGCTCAGAGTCAGCTGGGATGTGAATCGCCCCTTAGCCCAGAGGCTCCACTAGGTTACCAGATCCACTGGTGAGGTATCATAATGCTTGCGCTTAAGTCGCCCTTATTTTACCTAATCATTCCACAGTCACGTAACTTTTATTACAGTACATTGTTATGTTTGTTTTTTTGTTGTAAGTTATTGTTTTTCATTTCTAACTGCGCCTAATTTATAATTAAACTTTATCTAGGAAAAAAAACGTATGTGTAGGGTTCCCTACTATCCAAGGTTTTAGGCACCCACCGGAAGTCTTGGGGCGTATCCCCAACACATAAGGGAAGCAACTGCATGCAGAATCTAGTGTCTCAATTTTCTATTTCGTGCCACTGCTTCAGGGACCTGAGACGCCCTGAATCCGTAAGGAGTATGATGAGGCGGTACTTTTGTGAAAGCCTATTTCCAAGAATGAATAGGCGTTCTGCTGCTCTCTGTCAGCACGGGCTCTTTCTCTGCAAAAAGGGAGGTTACTGAATGCCCGGTACCAGGCATCTCAGCCAGGGCTGGAGCTCAAAAGGAAAGATGGGGGAGGGCCCCGGAGGGGGGCCGTGTTGCTGGGTGGGCAGGCACCTAGACCACCCTTGTGACCTGGGAGGGAGGCTACTTTTGACAGATGAAGTAGAATAGTTTCATACTTCCATCGTGGCAGTTTAAGTTCTTTAGTAAAACGTAACATCTCTGGACTTTTGTTGTTGTTTTTCTGGTCTAAAAATCCAGAAAGCCGTGACAACGGCAGCTGTACACCTGGAACGAGAGTTAGACAGAAGGCTTCCCCAGCGTCACGGCGCCGGCAGCGGCCTTCCTCAGGGCCTGGCGTGTCTTCCTCCCCAGCCTGCCTGGGGCTCGCTGTCTAGCTGGCAATTCATAGGTAAAGAGACACGCGGCAACACCGAAATCTATTTTAAACCAAGATTGATGATCACCTTTTAGAAACAGCGTGAAAACCTCAGGTCTTGGCTAAACATATTTTGAGATGGTTTTCCTGGGAGAGGATGAATTGTTTCAAGAACTTGTGACGGGAAGAGACGAGATGCTGGGAAAGAGAGCCGAGAAGGGAGGCGTCCGCAAGGGCCTTTATCTTGATTGCCTAGGGACTGTGGAACTCTAATTGTCCTGAGACCAAAGGGAAAGGGTCACCGTGGGTTGTATCTCTTGCCTAGTGTGACATGTCACAGAATGTCAACAACGTCTGTCACCCCTGCTGGGTGCAGATAGGGGACCCTGGATTGAAATGGGCAGAAGGTGGTTCCCAAACTGAGGCATGGAATGCTGAGTAAGCCCTTCTTCGGAGGTCTTTGAGAATCCTAGGAAGCAGAGGAGCGTCAGCCCCCAATGTCACTGACACCTCGGGGTTTCTGTTCCCAATGAGTCAGCACTTCAACAAGGGCAAAGGAGCCACAGGGCTGGCAACCTCAGGATAACCGAGGCCGCAGGTTGCTCCCACGTCAGAGGCCCCCGGACCCGCCGTATTTCATAAGAGACACGGAAAGTTTTTGGCTTGTAAAGCCTCCGGTGAAAGACCTCGTCCTTAAAAGAGGTAACACGCGAATGACAAAGCCTGAGCATGTAATCACAGCGGAGCTATGGTCGTAATATACTTATTTGAATATGTGTGGTACTTTGGAACACAATGAATAAATACTCATTGTTAATAATTAGATTTACACATGTAGAAATGTAGATATTGAATACCATCCCCAAATTTCAATTTGCAGAGAAACACATTTCTAACCGTTTAGAGATTTTCTTCTAGAATTCTTAGCATATTTATTTTGGGCCTATCCTTTTTAAAAAATAATACAATATAAATATCTTTCCTGTCAATGAAAGCATGTCATCTTGTATGGCTGCATGCCATTTCGTCATAAGAATTTATTATTTGATTTAATCAACACTCTCATGCGGGACTTTAGGTTGTTTTCAGTCTTTTGCTGTTATAAACATTTTGTGAAGTTAAATCTATGCCTATACTCTTGATTATTTTCTTACCTTAAACTTCTAAATATAAAGTTGCTGTGTCAAAGGTTATCTGGCTTTAAGACATCTGATTAATGTTGCCAAATTGTCTCCCATAAAGTCTATACTTATTTTTTCTCCTAATAGCAAAATTACGTAAATAAAAAATTCCCATAGATAGGGACCACAGGAAGAAACAATAAGGAATTTCCTGTTCCTAGTACTTATTGTTTGCTATTTTCATTACATTACTGTTAGAACTACTTTTTAA